CGTGCAACGATCCCTGATGAAGGGGAGGGAGCCGTGAACATTCATAGGTATGCGGTGGCATGGCTACGGCATCCTATAAATACTGCAGCCACATGTGCATGAACCACCCTTATCTGCTTATGTCTCTGATGATGGATTCGAACAGGAATCCGAAACGTCAGGCTAATAAAGCTCTTGTCCCGGCGATCGTGTCTTCTTCTTCTAGACTGCTTCCTGGGACTCGTCTTTTCGCTTCTATTGGCTCCAAGGAAGTCTTTCTAGTGTTGTGGTAACTCCGGACTTGTCCTGGTTGTCGGCGGAAACCCGTGGCGGCGTCTCAATGGAAGAGTCGTTTGGGTCGGCATCCGTATTCCATCCGCACGAGGCAGCCGCCCCAGCGCAAGTGCAATTGTGTCGGCATGGCGTGGATGCTGAGGATTCTTACCCGTTCCAGTATGACCGTGTCCGGAATCCGATCCTGCCATCTCAGCTTTGGCATATCTTGAAGACGGCCTAGGTGGAAGGGGTTGAGACTCCGCGTGTGCTTCTTGTAAACCATGCAGGTTCCCGCTCGAGACAGCAGCGTCGGCGGGATGACTGCTTTGTGCATCTTGAGTTTGGCGCTGAGGTGGAGATCGCGACGAATTCAGACGGTGTGCTGTTAGCGGTCGAAGGCTTAGCTGGCCTTGGAAGTCCGGCGGGCCACTTCATTGCCGATTTTGGTGTTGTAAGAAAGGGTGATGCCAAACAAGTGAAGTTATCAACGGCTTGCATTTGGGTGCCGTCCACGTTGATTTGCGCAGCGTCGGGTGGCGGTTTAAACATGGCCACCGTTTTCCCTGTATTGATGACCAGGCGTCGAAGAGGTCCACGCTCCTTTGCATGGCCCCTTCGGAGGTGGCGTTTAGGCTACAGTCGTCGGCGAACAGAAGTTCATGGACGGAAGTTGTGGGCACACGCGACTGGAACTGCATCCGCTGATGACTGAGGAGTTGGCCGTCCGTTCTGTAGGCGACGCGGATCCTGGGGCGCTTTCACAATAGGCGTTCAGTAGCATGATCGTGAACATGAGGCCGAGGACGCAGTTCTGATTCACCCCGTTGGTCACTGCGAATGCCTCTGAGACGACTCCATTATCCGTGAAGCGCGCCGTCATGCCATCGTGAAACTGACGTAACATCTGAGTGAGTCGCTCGGGACAGTCGAATTTCCGCATGATTTTCCCCAGTCCTTCGCGATTCATCGTGTTGAGGGCTTTTGTCAGATCTCCGAAGGTAGCGTAAAGATAGGTCCGCTTCTCCTGACACTTCTCCTGCAGAAGGCGGGTGGAGAAGATAATTCCAGCGGTGCTGCGATGGCGGCGAGTCCGCATTGGCTTTTTGGAAGGAGTCCCTATTCCAGATGTTTGTTGAGACGGTCGAGGTGGATGCGAGTGAAGATGTTTCCGGCAATGTTGCGGAAGGAGATGCCCCTATGGTTGTCGCAGAGTTTATGGCTCCCTTTCCGCTTTAAAGATAAACGGTTTTGACGTCCTTAAAACCTTTAGGAACTTTGCCTCGACGCCATGTCTCCTGGATGAACGTTGTCAGATGATCAATGAGTTGGGGACTACGGTGCTTGTAGATTTCAACAGGTATCGCGTTTGATCCAGGCGCTTTACTGCTAGAGAGTGACTGCACAGCCCTAGGGGTTCCGTGGAGAGAGGGCGGGAGGTCGAGGTCGGCGTTGGTCTTCGCTTGAGGCAGACGGGCGATGGCGGCGTCGGGGATGGAGGAGGGACGGTTGAGGATGTGTCGGAAGTGTCCGGCCATTGCTGTATAATTTGCGACTTCTCAGTGAGTAGGCTGCTGCCGTCGGCGCAGAGGAGAGGAGCAGTGTCTTTGGTTGGCGGACCGTAGACAGCTTTGGTCGCGGAGAAGAAGTTCGTCCATTCGTTGTAACCCACGTATCCCTGGATCTCCTCGGCCTTGCAAGCTGTCCAGGCGTCCTGCATCTTCTGCAGCCGCTGTTGCGCAAAGTGGCGACTACGGTAGAAAGCTTCTTTGTTGTCATCGGTAAAACGGTTGACGTAGGCTTTGTGTAGTCGAATTTTCTCAACGAGCAGGTTGTTGGTGGTGGCGGCGTCGTTGGTATCAAATCAGTCCTGGTGCCGGCGACGTGCGCGACTGAGGACAGCCAGGGCAGTCGACTAGACTGTGTCCCTCAATTTGCACCTTTAACTCTCCACGGAGGCGATCTCGTCGGTGGCATTGGCGGCTACTGGAAGGTTGGCTAGCCGTTAAGCAAGCTCATTACCGAAGTGGAAATGGCGAGCAGACACAGAAAACAAAGCAATGTTCAACTTACAAAGGTATCCTCCACACACTGGGCCCATAACTTCGGTCTGTGGTTGTGGAAGACCAGCGACCCTAACCGTTGCAAGACCGCCTCGGCGATGAACCCCGAAATCGGCGAACCCATTGGTGTGGCCTTCACCTGTTCGTAGATTGTCCCGTCGAACTTGAAGTGCGTCCTGAGGCACAACTTCAGGAGCTGAAGGACTTGGGCGTGTCAAAGACGATTCTGCGTTTCATCGTATTTGCTTTGCAGAAGCAGCTCGATTGTCTCGATCGTCAGGTCCTGGGGAATAGAAGTAAAAAGGGATGTAACATCAAAAGATACCATGACCTCATTTGGATGGAGGCTTACCCCTTTGAGTTTCTTCAGGAATTGTGCTGACGAAGAGACCGTGGTGCCTAATTCAGAGGTCAGGAACTTGAGACACCGGAACAGCCACTTAGCCAGTCCGTACGTTGGAGTACCTTTGAGCGACACGTTAGGTTGGAGAGCAGCGCCGTCTTTGTGCACCTTAGGGAGGCCATAGAATCACGTCAAAGCCGTATCTTGGGGTCTCGCCATGCGTCTGTCGGTCGGTGTTATTGTCCCATGCGTAACGAACCCTGTAAAAACGCTGACACGCGAAATTAATGCTACGTTGTTGGTCTAGGAGGACTCAGGTGAGGTGGGAGCCCTGAATATTCATAGGTATACGGTAGCTTGACGACTACATCCTATAAATAGTGCAATCCCTTGAGCATGAACCACCCGCAGCTGCTTTTGTTTCTGATGATGGGTTCGAGCAGGAATCCGAAACGTCAGGCTAATAAACCTCTTGTCCAAACGATCGTGTCTCCTTCTTCAAGATGTCCACTTTATAGCGCGCCATTTCCCGAGCGACTTGCGTCGTTTTTCGTGCCTGCCGGCTACTCCTGGAATTGTCTAAAAGGGAATATACATTCCAGACTGCTAGAGTGGACGGACTCACCCTACCATCCTGTGGGGCAGAGGGGAGGTTGAAGAGGGCGAGTGGTGTCTTGTGTTTTGTTTAGCAGTCTGCAACCCACGGTCAGCCTGCGGACAGCGTGGTTCCCAGCATTTGTTTAGAGCACCTTTTCTATCCCCTGCCAGCTAGTTAGCGAGCTACTACGAACGTCGCGCAGGCCTACAGCTGGACACTCCTACACCCGACTCATCAAACACACACATGACAGTTGGCTCATCGCGAAGAACGATATGTCCCACGGAGTAGTCGGCGCATTAGGAGAATTGCGCGTGAATTAATTTACAATTTTAGCAGACTTGCGTGGCATTTGCCGCACCCTCTCCCCCCTAGCCCACATGGGACCGATGGCAAGACGGAGTCACGACGGCCGTGGGTTGGCTTGGAGGCAGTGGCCTACGGGAATAAAATAACTTGTCAACGCCTACCACACACGTCCCGGTCTACCGCCCAATGTACCAGGATTGTAGCCAAAGGGACAAGTCAACCTCTGCTTGTATAATAGTGAAATGAAGGCGCACAGAGAAGAGGCCATTAAGCCTCGATCCATCAGTCAGTCACTCCATACAACACCATGCCCTCACCCCGAAGACCGAGTTATCAAGTCAATTGGTGAACTTCAAGTCACGACTTTTAGAGTGTCTGATTTACTATAGTGGCGCATGCGCTAAGATTTCGTGGGGACTAATTCTCCTAGATCAGCCCCACTCACTGTCTGCTTTCTCTTGAGCATCACTTTATTCTTCGGACCTGTCAACAATCTGGTGCAGGGATTGGACGCGGTGGCTGATAGAACTGCAAAGGTCTACCTATGAGTGCCACACCAGGCCTTGTCTGACATCAACCAACCACTTACCAGAGAGGTGGATGTTCTGGCTGTGTGTCGGGTAACGTGAGACGGGCATGTGTGTTGTGTATGGAACAATATCTGATGATCAGGTAAGGTCGCAGTGTTTCCCGGCGGAGTTTCACGGAAGCACATATGACACAATTGCCGTCAACGAATAGCTGTAGGCATTGTGGACAACTGAGGTAGGTGTGGTGAATGTGCTTTGGTGTTTCTTGCACTTGTTTTCCAGTTTCAGTCCAACTGATTCGCAAGTGACCGACCGGGCCTATGCGTGATTTGAATTTACGATGACAATATGGCAGGATATACTGGTATCTGCTGGACGGACGGTGCCGAAAATGCAGTTTATGGTGGCAACGCCAGTGACGGGGGAGTTTTCGGATGCGCGGAGGGAGAGGGGTAGGCGTGTCGGCTCTAGCTGTGGATATCTATGTGGCAAAAAGGCGGATGCAGCACTTGAAAGTCCTCGGACATTGTGGACAGGTGTCGCGCTTGTGGCGGGCGGGCGTTTAGGCTCAGGCATTGGTTCACCCGTCTCATTGCGATCGACTCGCAGTTGACTGATCAAGCCAATGCGTGTTTTGAAGGTGCGGTCGCCGTGGGGACAGACTGGGGTTTAGCCCGCACTTTGTTAAAAAGGCGGTGGTAGTTTGTTGAATGCTAGAGCGTCGGGAATCTCCTCACCGATGGTGACGCGCACACAGTTCGGGATCCGCGACGTACAAGATACTCTTCCATCGTTTGACGTGTGCAGCTCTTATTTTGCAGTCCCCTTAACCGATAGAGGCAATGAATGCCAAATAAATGTGTCGAAGACTCAAACATGCGCTAAAAAATAAAGGGAGAAGAAGAAAGAGAAGCTTGTGGTCTGTCGATTTGTTCGTGTGTGACATGCTTGAGACGAGGCTGCACGCCACACCAACCACTGCAAACAATCTTGTCGTCAATCGAGCGGAGTGAGAAAGAGGACAATGGAAAAGTGCCTTTGTGCATGACAGTTTAGCGTACTTCTCATCATAACAAATTGGAAGCAGGTACATCTTGAACAATGATAAAACCTTAGTGGTATAGATGTTTGTCAGTTGATGAGATAACACTCCCCTCCATCTGAACAAAAGTCAGACTGTAACTGTTCTTAGCACGACCTCCATGACCTCTTTCACGCCCTGACCTCTGAACACTTCTATGGCATGCAGAAGATAGTGATTCCACCCCACGCCGGCCTCTGCAAATCGTTTCGTCGTCAGTTTGTTGACAGACCCTGTGCATGGCAGAGAGAAGAGAGAGAGAGATAATGGATGTCCCAGCTCAGATCCAGTGCGTAGATACTTAAATTCTACCAAGTGTACTTCGAGAGCCACACGACACGCAAACAGTCATGAATTGGAAAGATGCCAACCTATCGCATAAGTTCATTGCGCTCGAGACTGAATATCAGCCCACAGTGACTCATCGATAATGCGGTCTCCACGAGTGAGCTTTATTCTTGAGAAGACATCACTCAATCTCTGACACAAATGTTCGGCTTCGCGAGTCCTTATGACGACAAAGGTGTCACTTGCATAATGAAGTGGCATTTGAGCTTGAAAGTTTGAAAACCTTTCCTCATGGTAGCTGTAACAGGGGTTCAGTGAGCAGTCCGGGACATCGTGAGCCCATTGGGGTTCCCCTAACCTGTTGGTAATACTTATTGGGGATTGGATTAAATTCTTAGTATATATATATGAATAACTAATGTGGTGTGCATTCCAAGGTGATAAAATGAAAAAGAGAAGGCTCTTCGGAAAATCGAGTTGTACTCGTAAATTGTCAAGTCGGTGACACCAACGCGTCGTCAGACGAAATGAACAGAGAGGAAAGTGAAATCGGCAGACTAGGTCGGCTGGCCCGACAAAACAGACAACGACAAACAGACAGCTGATGCGTGAGAGGGGTGGGCACCAAGTTACGGTAGGCTGTGGAGCAGGGGGAGGGAAGGAAGAACCGTTAGTGGTTCCCTGTGTTGGAGGTGGAGAAAACGCGGGGGGAATTGCGGATCAGGGGGAATGAGGGCGGCTGGTCACTGATGCGGGATGAGGTCCGTGGACAATGCGCCGGAGTCGGAGGTGTTAGGGGTTTCGGTTGTTGTTCACCGTGTCGCAAGGGTGGGGCGGAAGGGCGAAACAGCATACGTCTATGTGGCCGAGTAGGGGTTAGCAGTTGTTAGGGTGTTAGCATGACTACCGCTCCAATTGGGACGGTACTGAAGTGATTGCAAAGGCTAACACCAGACAGGAGCGAGAATTCTCGATGCTTGGCATTCTGGCACGACCAGCATCAACCGTCATGTCCATTTAGACGCTCACTACGAGGGCTTACGTACACGCTCACTGTCTTCTTCCCACACCCTAACAACTGTTAACCCCCACTCGGCTACATAGACGTATGCTGTTTCACCATTCCGTCCCCACCCCATTGCGACACGGTGAACAACAACCGAAACCCTGAACTTGTTTAACAGCTTGGTTCCATCGCACGTTTAAAAAGCATGACAGTGAAATCGTGACCTCGTCTGTAGAAATGTCGACCTGCCATCGGCATACCAACCCCTGAGATAACAAGTCAACCGCTCTGACAATGTTCACCCCCCCTCCGGCGGATGTTTTTGCATTTTGCATAAACTGCGTCCTTCTATATGCCTTCGACAACCGATTCGAAAGCGCGTCCTTAACCGCGCAAAAATATCATCTTGGATTCAGCAGTGGCCATTCCTAGGGTCTCGCGCATCTGTCACTACTTGCAGTATGTGCGTATATGCGAAGGGGAAGGTAGGTACACCTGGAAA